CCTTCAGGGCTCACAAAGTACTGCTTAATTTGGGACCTGATGGGGCAAACAAGAGATATACTTAGGAAAGGTGATAGATTGTGGCTTTCTTGAAAGTGTGTTCAACTACCTCAATTAGAACAGAGCTGGAAGGGACCTTGGAGGTCTTCTAGTCCAACCTCCTGCTCAAGCAGGAGACCCTATACCATTTCAGACAACTAGCTGTCCAGTCTTTTCTTAAAAACATCCAGTGATGAAGCACCCACAACTTCTGAAGGCAAGTTGTTTCACTGGTTAGTTATTCTCACTGTTAAGAAGTTTCTCCTTAATTCCAGGTTGCTTCTCTCCTTGATTATTTCCCATTCATTAGAAGATCTGCAGGACCAAGTTGGAAACAGGTTATCTTAGGGAAAATCGAACAATGTGGTCAATAAGAGTCATCTGTCTTGATGTCACATAATCAATCATTCATACATAACTATCCAACAGTAAACTTTATGTAATAATTAGCACTTAATACTAAGTAAAAAAGTATGGAATTCCATTTCCATTTTCTGGAAACAAATTTATTAAATTTTATGGGAATTGCTATTATACTGTAATAGCCAAAGTGCATATAAAATCAAAGAACTTGATTAAGATTTATGGGGTTTTAGCTTAAGGAAAAATAAGTTGAATAAAGGGTAACCTAATATAATTGTATATAATACATTACACATGTGAACAAAGTGGATGTGATTCAAGTTAGAACTCAAAGTCAACCCAATGAAATTGAATATTGGGGGATTTAGGACAGATTAAAAAGGAATTATTCTTGACAGCCAAATTGTGGAATTCATTACCATGAGAAGTAATGATGCCCACTATACAAACATAGAACATTAGACCAGTTTATAACTGCTAAAGTCATTAATGCTTATTAGTCACGATTTCTACATATTATACCCAGTTTTTGAGAGTTAGCTTCTAATAACAGTTATTGGGAAATGCAAGATCCAATTGTGTCTTGCTTGAAGTCTTTCAACGGGCATCTGGCTGTCCTTGTGACATTTTTTTCCCCAATCCAAAATGTCCTTGTAATGTTCAGTGTACAACACAGGTGTCAAACTCAACGTTTTTTGGCTTTGTGGAGCTGGGATGGGTGTGGCCTGCACACGACACATCCAGCCCATGGACTGCCAGCTTGACACCTCTGGCATAGAGCATGAGATAAGCCATGAAGTACTTCATTATCCTAAAGTAAGAGCAACTTGACAGTAGAGTTTGAGAGTAAGATTATGGCATTGAGAAGAGATATGACTTAACCTTTTTACTTCCATAAGTTTCTATAATTGTTTATATTTAGGAAAGTGGGAAAACCAAATATCAATAGCTAAATTTCTATAGCATGTTTAGTTTGGTCCACTGCTTTGTGGAAAAGAACCTTTAACCATCATTTTCTTTTTTTAGAAACCATACAAAATAATTTTGCTAAAATAAGGGCTGTTCAGGGATCAAGACTTTGGAAGTCATGTATGATGTGGAAAATGAGATATGTTTTACTGCTATCCTATAATCTAGAATTCAGGTTTACAGTAAAACTGATTGACAGAGTCAGAAATTTCCAAAGACAATATAGGTAGTCCTTGACTTATGACAATTGATACCAGACTTGTCATTGCTAAACAAGGCAGTTGTTAAGTGAGTTGTGCCCAATTTTACAATCATTTTTGCCATGGTTGTCAAGTAAAACACTGCAGTTGTTAAGGGAATCACATTTTGTTTGTCCAAAGCCAACTGGGAAGGTCACAAATGATAATCATATGATCCTGGGAGGCTGCAATTATTATAAATACATGTCAGTTACCAAGCACCTGAATTTTGTTCACATGACCATAAGGATGCTGTAATAGTAATAAGTGTGAGACTGGGTCATATTTTTTTTTTCAGTAGCCTTTTAACTTTGAATGGCTGTAAGATGATGACTACTTGTCCTTTATACAAGCTGTAATTAATTTATATAATTCATACAAAAAGAGGTGATGGTGATCACTGGCTTCAATGATTTACATTTGTGTAGGGGAGTGGGGATGGGGAGATATTAGGTTTTATATTTAAACAGAATTTCTATGTTATCGAATAATGCAGATTTTTACAACCTTTTTTGCTATTTTTTCCTATAGGTCGAGACTAAGGTTCTTTCAAAGATATTCCAAGGATAGAATCTAAACAATAGTGATGGGGGAAGTGCTTTGATCTGGGAAAATTAAAATCCTACTACGTTTTATCTTACCCCAAAAGGCCAAGAAGAGATTAGGAGCATTAAAATGCAAGAGGTCTGTGGTTCCTTCAATTAAACCTGGTTGTGTTATTAAAAAAAATGTTTGAAGTAACCTACCAGAATCTTGCTGTTTGAGGTGAAAAAACAGGAAGAAAAGGCAAACATTTTCCATTAAACTGATTACCTGTTATTATTTTTTGTCAACAAAACATTTTTGAACCTTGATTTCAATAAGTCTAAATAGTTTATAACATGTAGCTTCTTATTTTGCAATCTTCAGGTCCCAGAAATCAAATTTCTATGACAAAAAAAAATGCCAAGGAACAGAGGTGAAAGTTTAACACTACTTTTCAGCAGAGAAAAAATGCGTAATGGGAAAAAAATTGCTTTCTCCTGGTCACACAAAACCAACTCATTTTTCAATGATAGGTCTGCAAAACACCCAGAAATACTAGCCAGTCCAGTTTCAGTGATATCATGCAATATCTGCATCCATTCTAGCCTCTTTCAAATAAAACAACATGCTTGCTTAACCTCAACCTCAATCTTAAACTGCAGAAATGTAAGCAAAGAGAGCTACTCTTTGGAAATAAGAGACTTTGTGCTAACATTGCTAATTATACAGCCTTGTCCACTTGCCTTAGCCAGGACAAAATTATAGTGGATCCCTTCTTCCTTTTTTCTAGCCATAAAGCTCTCCCTCAGAATGCATTTTCATCCAGTTCTTGAGCAGGCAAAAAACTTTGATGTACCCTTATACCTAAACTCAGATTAAATGAGGTTGATGAGAACATCTGTCATATATCCCTTACATCTGTGGGACAACTTAAGGGCAGTGGTTGGTGGATTTATCTAGTTTTATTTCTCTGCACCCACATGTGATGGGACAGGCTTGGGCAACTGGATCACCTTGAGGGAAGATGGGTGGCATAAAAAATGATAGATAGATAGGAGAGAGAGAGAGAGAGAGAGAGAGAGAGAGAGAGAGAGAGAGAGAGAGAGAGAGAGAGAGAGAGAGAGAGAGAGAGAGAGAGAGAGAGAGAAACTGAAAAGGGTGTGAGAGGGCCTGGGATGAAACAACAGGTTGCTAATGCACAGGTGATCCACCACAATAACCTGCTTCTGGCTGCCACAGAACATCAACTTTTTGATATTCTGGAATACAGGTAAACTTATAACCTGGATCATAGATTAGTTGAGAGAGAAGACATGTGAAGTATAGTGTCATCCTAGGCTTGTCCTTTCAGGTCACAGGTATGGTCAAGTCCCAAGTATGGTGGATGGTTTGTGAAGGGCATTAGGTGTACTCCTGACTCCCCCATTTCCTTCAGCTCTGCCTGTAACCCATCACTTGGGCCAGATGGAGGACACTGACCAAACGCTTGTCAATTTCTTTTCAGCCCTCAAATATCTCAAATGATAAGCACAATGAGAAACCAAAGACTCCCTGTGCAACTTATGGAAAATTGGATAAGGAAAACAGCACCCCTCCCCCATGATAAAAACAGTAAAACAACCAATGTTTTCTTATAAGGAGAAACAGCAGAAAATTGGAATGCATTCACTTGGAACAGAACCAACAACTTACAGTTGGCAGAACCAGCCCTTTTCTTGGTTCAGATCTATCTCCCATGCAGGTGGTGTGCACCAGTTTTCTAAACAGATATAACCACCAGAAATCAGATGTTTCTGTGGAAACCAGGTGCCTGATCTCTTTCAGTGCCCAACCCAAAATGGCCATGGAGGGCAAGCTTCAATGATCAGAAGAGGAAGAGCAGCAACAAGTATTCAAGGGTTGCTGAGTAGATCTTAGCACTTGACCTTGTCATCATCACCATAAAGGTTTATCAGGCTCAAACTGTATGGACTGGTTTTCTTTGGAAGTAGAAGTCTTATTTCCCCCCCCCTTTTTTTTTTTTAATCTTCTGGTAAAGCAGATGTGAGCAAGCTGAGTGTCTAAAACCCATTTTTGCATCTCTTTAAAACCATCTCCATTTGTGGTGTAAATGCTAAATTGTACAGTGTTTTCCAGTTTTTAGGTTAAAATTCATGTAAGTGACAAATAAGTAAGGCACAGTCATTTGGAAATTTGAGAGCATGTGATGGACCAAGAATGATTGCTTGGGCAGTGTGAAAAGCCATGGTGATGATGTTAGAGAAATAGTTACAAAGAAGTAAAGTTTAATAAAGTATAATTTCAGGCAAACTTACTGCATCTGTTTCCTGGCCTGGCCTGGCCTGGCCTGGCCTACCACAAAGTCTGATCGATCAATCACAAAATACCCATTTATAGAATATGAACTTGCTCCCAGGATGCATGCTTCTTTGGGACCTCACAACACCCCAGCAAACTTGATACTGATGATTGGTACTTTATTTTGCAGCATGCCAGACCTTGCTTTAATTTTTTATTTCAAGAATCATTTTTAGAAGGTCAACTTGACAGGCATTGTGAGAAGAGTCTAGATTGCCCAAGGGATCCACATTACTTCCTTGACATAAGCTCAAAAGAAAACAAACATCTTCCTCAATTTTACATGTGTAGTTTTGCCATCTATATGATGGAGCAATGATTGGTATCATTGCCCCATACATTTCAGCCCTTGACTTCCCCATAACCATTGTGCAGGCCTCCAGCTTCCTCAGAGTTGCACATATCTGGATGAAAGGAGCCCCCGATGGTCAAATGAAGTGTGCTCAATTCAGTCATTTCATAACCCACCACTCAGTTTACTCACTTTGACCTTCCAATGTTTTACAGGCATCAGCTATTCAGACACAGTGAGTGCCACCGAGCCCTGTAAGCCCTGTAAAGAGTGTGTGGGCCTGGAGAGCATGTCGGCTCCTTGTGTGGAATCGGACAACACTATTTGCAAATGCATCTATGGCTTCTATCGGGATGAGAGCAATAAATGTAAAAAGTGCCGCATCTGTGAAATGGGCTTCGGGCTTGTCTTACCTTGTGTGGAAAATCAGAACACATTGTGTGAGAAATGCCCGGCAGGGACGTATTCCGATGACGCCAACTATGTAGACCCCTGTTTCCCCTGCACAGTGTGTGAGGAGGATGAGGTCATTGAGAAGGACTGTGCTGCAACTTCAGATGCCAAGTGCAGAGGTAATTATACATTTTTTAATGGGGGGGGGGAGAGATGGAGCTAACTAACTGTATAATCCAGCAGAAATCCTATCCCAATTTAGCAGATACCTAGAAACAGGCAACCAGCATTAGTGCTTTAAGCAATGAGGTAGGGATGGGGGTTCAGCAAAATGTTCTTTAGATAATGTTCTTGATTTTTTCCCTCCCACGTTGTCTTGGTTTTCTCCCAGTACAGACCTGATCTCCCCCCTCTTTCTTTTTTTACAGTTAAGGAAAGGAACATGTTGATTTGTTCTTTTCTTTTTCTTACTGTTTGAACCTCCCAAAAACAAAACCAAGAGTAGAGCCATTTGGAATTGTCAGCTTCAAGGAGATTCTGATGACCCCCAGTGGGAGGATGGAGCTATCCAGTGGGTGAGCCAGATCAAAACTAGTTTAAGATAAAGAACCTTAAGAAAAGAAGCAGCCACCGGGCTTTGCTGCCCCCCACAAGCAATAGCTGAGCAAGCACTCATGTCACTAGATTGAGTTTCTCTCAATGGTGAGGTGGTTCTTTTTCTTTCTATTGCTTAGCAATTATTTCTAAATGAATTTCAGTATTTTTTTATTGAGAAAAATGTGTGATTTGTGCAAAATCTACGCCCCCCTTTGCTGACTTTCTCATAATGATACTTTTACTCCTAATATGATCTCCATCCAAGCCCAAGCCCATCCTGCCAGCTCAGCTCTTTTTGTACATTTAAAAGGTCTCAAAAGGGGCACCTGTAACCATAGAAATGGAATTGAAGATGTTCTATGTATTTATTGCAATTTTTAACCTGCTTTTGTTATTTTTAGAAATAGTGGTGAATATACCTAATAGTCCTTCTTCCTCCTATTTTTCCCACAACAACAGTCTTTCATGCCAAAGGTGGGACTAGAATTCACAGTATCCTGGTTTCTAGGCCAGCATCTTAAGTAGTATTAGAATTCCTGAGCATGTGAGATCTTGATATGCATGTGCATACGAAGAAGGTTGAGAATGGTGCTGTAAAGTGAAATAGCTTAAGGACCACACAGTATTGAGCAACTCCTTTCTTCCTCTATATACCGCATTCATGCTGTAATGAATAGCATGAGAATATTTGCAGGAGAATTAGCAGGAGAATATTTGCAAGGAACCTCTTAGTGAAATCATGAATTTTATTCAATATTGTGCTAATGCTTCTCCTTTGAGGAACGCAAAGCAAGTTAACAGCCCCTCATGTCTTTTGTTCCTGATTCTTCAAAAATTCACTCTCAAGTTTATATTTCAACTGGATAAACAAATCAAACTAGAAGTGGAAACATACTGTGTAGTTGCATAAATGCAAATATATGTAGCCAATGACATGCCCAATTCCACCTCCACTGATGAGAGGTGGCTATGATTACAATTTTCCATTGATAATGTTATTTTTTTTAATATGTTCATGAAGCTAAATCATATCCCTTTCCCAATCCCTCCTTCCCAGCATGGTCATCTTTCTTTTCCTAAAATATACTGAAATAAACAAAAACAAAATCACTCAGGATGCATTCCTCTTTTTGTGGACTTCCCAAATAGTTCCATGTTAACTATCAAAATAAGAACATGGTGGTTTGTGTCATTAGGATGCTGGGGTGGAGGTTGGCAAGCCTGCATTTGAGACCAAGTGTTTCTGGGGCTCAGGGTTGAACTTCCATCCTTCACTCCAGCTCCTGCTGGGGACATGAAAGAAATCCCCAACTAGGAGAAAAGTGATGTCACCAGCTAATCCTTTCAACCCAGAAGCCCCTCAGTGCTTCTGACACAAGTGCAAACTATCCAAATTTTTCTCTCCTGGGCAGAAGATGAAGCCCATCTTTTGACACAGAACACAGAAGCAGATAAGTTCATTTTTCCTGTGACTGATAACACACAAAAAGAAATCAACCTGCTCTCTTCTTAATTCCTAAGTATGTCTTGATCTGCAAAAGTTAACAGTTCTATGGCATGAAGATAAACAAGATCTCCTGCTATTCTTCTGCCAGGGAAATGGCAAACTGTACTGTAAAACATAATAATCTGGTGTAGTTCTGAACTTAGCATTCAGTGCCAGCGTTATAATTAGAGGACTGTTTAGAACAGGGATATCAAACTGCTGGCCTGTGGGCCAGATGCGTCATGAGGAAATCGTGCCCACCCCATTGCTGGCAATGGGGAAAAAGTTCCTATACATCGTGCGATGTCATGTGACGTCGCAAGTTTAACATGTCTGGTTTAGATGCATATTCTTAAAAGACTTCCCCCATTTGATTGGGCCTGCCATCATTACTCCTGCACATCTTTCCTTGTTGGTCCAACCTCTATCATCACTTGAGTCATAGGATAAGACTAATAGAGACATGTCTGCCTCCTCCTCCTCCTCATGTCTGTGCTTGTCTATGTCAAGCAAACAACTGGCAATAGCATGGAGAAGATTTGGGCTTAATCAACAATGAAATATGGATGGTGGGCTCAGGCATGGACCTGACTGTATAGATTTTGTGCTGGTCCTCCTACCAATCCCACTTTCCCCTTTTTTTCTCAACCATTGGAAAAGAGTCTATATATTAAATGTCACTATACCCATCTTCTGCCTAATCTTAGCTGTATCAATTATCTAATGCTTGCTTATTAAGTCATTAGAATATTTATTTGATGTGTTTTATTTCTCATAGTGGAAAGCAGAAATTTGACAGTATAATACAGGACATGGAAACCAATCTCTTTTGCTTGGCAACATTTCTATCAAAAAAAAAAAAACAATTCCAATATGAGATTGATTTCTTGTCATCTCAAGCCTTCACACATGGCTCACTTTGCAGAATAGTAGCAAGTAGAGTTATTATCAAAGTACAGATATCTGTATATTTTATTTATGGAAGAAAGGGCAACGGGAAATGGGTAGGGGTGATTTGCAGAAAAGCATAACAAGGGGAAATGGCTTATAAATGTCTCTTCAAGGTATCCCATTCTTCAGCTTTATTTTGAGGCTGTAGAAGTTGGATGCAATAAAACAGACACAAGACAAACAAACAGAATATAAAGATAACCACCCATTACATTCACACTTGTGCTAAGCTATAGTGTGGTTTAACTGTTTGTAATTCAGTGTCTGAACTCAGCCATTGTGGTTTTGATATCCCAGTTTAGGGTGAACTGAGCCAATTGTGGTCTATCCAGTAAAGCATGGTTAAACCGAAGAGTTTTAAGTTTGAGCTGTGGGGGAAAAATCAAAGCTGACTTAAAGAAACAAAACAAAATTACAGTTCTATGCCCACTACTGTATCTGAGAATAAAACAAATGTGTTTATATGATAAATGCCAGAACTGATGTGATTTGATTTGCAAGCTGGCTCTGATCCTAGCTGAACAACAGAGTTCCTGGATCGTCTTCAACAAGCTTAACCTTTCAGTTTTTGTTATATTGAGCTCTTTTTCAAGATTGGCTACAAAGGTTTCTGGCATTCCAACTTCACTGATTCAGATGCAACCACTCCAATCAGAGAAAATGTGATCTAGAGCAGTGGTTCTCAACCTTTTTAATGCCGCGACCCCCAACTGATTGTAAGTCGAGGACTACTCAACTGGTGCAGCACCGTTTGCAGAATGGGACTTTTGGCGGGCTCAGCAGGGCAGAGACAGCCTGGATAATTCCTATTGGCTTTTGAAAGCCAATAGAATTAGACTCTATTCAAGAGAGTCTATTCTATTGGCTTTCAAAAGCCAGTAGAATAAAAGGAGTAGCCCAGCTAAGGAAAAGGGCGGACTGCATTGTTTGGCGACCCCCGTGAAATGGTCGTTCGACCCCAAATGGGGCCCTGACCCAGAGGTTGAGAACCACTGATCTAAAGAGATAGAAAATCTTGTCCCCTGCCCACTTTCTCTTTCCCCTTCTCTTCCTTCACAGCAGGTATTGACAATATGACTCTGCAGGCTAGCACTCAGGGTAACAGTGGGACCCAAACTTATTAAAAGTAATTTTTTTTTAAAAAAGGCTAAAATCTTTTTATATAATGAAGTAAATAAACAAAAAGAAAATACAAATACAGCTATACAACAATATCATCAGTATTTATTAAACTGTATAACTTCAAAAATAAGAATAAGAATAAAAAAAGGAGGAAGAAAAAAAATTGGGGCTAAAAAAATAAATTGTAAATAGAACAGCTCCAAAAATTGACCATTTTTCTCAAAAGTCTAACGGATTTTTAACACAATTTGTTTACTTATTTATCTATTGAATGTCTATTTCATTTTCATTTTGTCTTATAATGACTTACAGCAGTTAGAATGTCTAAGGTAAATATAACAATAATGTAGCGTGACATGAGCAATCCTGCTGATTTTAGTTCCAAATGCAACAATAAAACTAAGCAGTATGAATTGTTACTCTAACTTTTGAACTCTAGCTTACTCCAAGAGTAAGCTAAATAAAATAACTATGGTTTATTGAAAATATTCTCAGGTGTCCTGTATACACAAACATTTTTGTTGTTTTAATCTCATTTTAAGATCATAAAAGATTGATTTCACATTATTTGCAGTGATCTTCTATGGATTTAAAAAGACGAGGCAACATGCCTATTTATGTGATGCATAAATAACATGCCTGTTAATAAATAACATGCTTGTTAATAAATAACATGCACAGGCCCGTTATTTATGTGATGCATAAATATAACATATATCAATTTCATCATTTTTCTTCAGCTTTTTATAAAAATGGGGGTTTGGCCCAAGAGCCACTATTAATTCTTCCAAAACCTCTAATTACTTATAATTTCTGAGACAGTGATAGCATCTGGACTAAATAAACCAAATAACAGATGATTAAACTAAATACACTGCCAAGAACATTCTGAGTTCAACAAAACTTGTTTTTTAAATTTTATGTTAAACCAGCTTCCTTGAAACTAAGGTGATCCTGGTTAATTATATTGTGACAAAGCCAGTTTATCACAGGCATTGATTAAGATGCTTAATTTACGTTTTT